CCCTGGGCAAGCAGATCTTGGTGGTGGGCGGTGTGGATGCGGCGCAGAGCCCCCTCGCCTCCGTTGAGGTCTACCACGTGGATGAGGGCAAATGGGAGAAGAAAGCGGCATTGGCTCAGCCCTCCATGGGCATCTCAGCTGTGCAGAGAGGTGAGGATAGGAACATGTTGTGACTCTTGCCCAAAGTTTGCTAAGCATCCTTGGAGTCTTGGTAGAGTGCAGCTTGCCAGGAGCCAGGGTTGGTCCCTGTATGTGGTGCCTATGTCTGCTCCCTGGACAGGGATGCTTGGCATGGACCAGGCTGCAGTGGGCAGGGCAGAGGAGATGCCAGGACAGTGGTGGGAGCGGGCAGGGGTGCCGGCCGTGCTGGAAGCAGGATTTGGCAGTATGGCTGTGTTGCCATGGTGTCTCCAGGGAGATGATACTGCCGAGAATAATTAGAGGATGGCCCTGTGCTCTTGTCTGTGCCTGATGGATGGGATGGAGAGGGGGGCGAGAGGGTCCCAGTGCAGTCAGGGCATTGCCAGGCACAGGCCTGGCTGTACTCACTGTCCCCAGCTGCCCTGGAGCAGTGTCTGGCTGTGGGGCTCAGCAGTAGTGCGGCTGCCTGCCCTGGAGGGCATGGGGTGCTGCCCACAGACCCCCCTGCCTCACTGCTGCCTCTTTTCCAGATGGGGCTGTCTACGCCCTGGGGGGAATGGGTGCGGACACCTCTCCCCAGGCTCTGGTCCGTGTCTATGAGCCGGCAAAGGATCACTGGCAGCCCCTACCCTCCATGCCCACACCGTGTTATGGCGCCTCTGCCTTCCTGCAGGGAAACAAGATCTTCGTCCTGGGTAGGTGCTGCTGGGGCAAACCGAGCATCCCCTGTGCCTCTACCCTCTTCTTCCTCTGTTCCCAGGTCAGAGAATGACCTGGTGCACCCCAGGGTGGCTCCATAGTGCCCAGCACTGCAGCCAGCCGGCCCCATCCTGCTTGCTGAGCACACCAATAGTGCCAGCTTGGGGCACTGGCAGCTACATCTCCTCTGTGCATAGGAGGCCGGCAAGGCAAGCTGCCTGTCACTGCCTTCGAGGCTTTTGACGTGGAGACAAGGAGCTGGACACGCTACCCCAGCGTGCCCAGCCGCCGCGCCTTCGCCGCCTGTGCCATGGCTGATGGAGTTGTCTTCAGCCTGGGGGGGCTGCAGCAGCCAGGGCCCCACAACTTCTACTCCCGTCCCCATTTTGTCAACACCGTGGAGATGTTTGATCCTGCGCAGGGTGAGCACCATGTCTCTGGGTGAGGTGGGAGCATCTTCTGTGGGTCCGGGATGATTCTGTGGGTTGGTGAGAGGTGTCTGTGCCTGAGGGACATAATTATATGGGCTCTGAACATCAGCCCCTTGTACCCATGGTGAATGAATCCTGTGCTCCCTGGTCCCAGGGAGTGATTAACCTGTGGGTGTTCTGGCCTTGGTGTATAGAGGGGAAACCCCAGCAGGCAATGCTCACTCCCTCTCATACCCAGGTGTGTGGAGAAAGCCAAACCGCACCATCCGTATGAAAGAGAAGAGAGCTGACTTCGTGGCTGGATGCCTGGGAGGAAGAGTGGTGGCTGTGGGTGGCCTTGGTAATGCTGGGGGTAGGAGTGTGGCTGTGTTCCCATCCCCATTCTTTGGGGCACATCAGTGATCTGCATGGCAGTGGGGAGGTTGGCTATGCAAAGCCAGGGGGTTACTGCAACACTGTCTGCAGCAACATCTCTCCATGCTCTCACACGTGCTGGGGAGACCCTACTGCCCTGTCCTGCTGGCTGACCCACTGTGTCCCTTGCCCCTTTCACTCCCCAATCAGGATTTTCCCTGTTCTTGTGCAGCGTTCTGGGCTCACACAGCCCAATAGAGGCTCAGCTCCGCTGTGCAGGGTTGCAGTGCTGCATCCCTCTCCCAAGAGAGCTGGGGAAAGGTTAGAGCTGTCACTCAGCGGAGGGCATTCAGCAGGAAGGGCTGCCTGGGGAGCCTGGTGCCAGCCACAGCACTGCCAGCCCTGCAGGGAGGGCTGCCAGACCCCCAAGATTGCTGTGGGAATAGGGAATGGTGCTGGCTGCATTCCTGCAGTGTGACATTGCTCCTGAGTCCTGCTGCAGCTGGAGCTGCCTTATCCCTGCAGAGTGCTGGCCCGGGGAGGGGGGGAGGGCGAGGAGTGGTTGAGGGGGCAGAGCCAGCAGGTGTGGCATTAGTGCCAGCAGCCATCCCTATGGGGACTCTTCTAATCCTCTTGTGCCCCCACTAATTGCCTCTGGGATCTCAAAGCCTGTGCAGCTCAGGGTCCCTGTTGAGGCATCAAAGAGATGTGGAGGGGGAAAGGCAGAGCCTGGGGTGAGGGGCGGGAGAGCTGCACAGAGGCTGATGTGGTTCTGTCTTCCACAGGGAACCAGTCCTGCCCACTGGACTCAGTGGAAGGGTTCAGCCTCTCACAGAAAAAGTGGGAGCCGCTGCCCCCCATGCCCACTGGCCGCTGCTCCTGCTCCAGCTGCCCAGCACCCAGCCTGCTCTTCATCATCGGCGGTGTGGCCCAGGGTCCCAGTGGCGCTGTTGAGGCTCTGTGCCTGCGTGATGTGCCCTGAGTGGGACCCCGGGGACCAGCCCTGGCCAAGCACCAAGTGCCTGAAGACGGGGACAGGGTGTGTGAGCACCCATGTGTTCACCCAGGGTGACCTGGCTCCAGGAAGCCTCTGTCCCATGATGCCAGGCACCAGAGCAGCTGCGGCTGTGGGAACTCCCAGCTCCTGCAGCGCTGTGGCAATGAAGCCCAGGGCAAACTCCTGCCTGGTGGGATGGCCATCGCCAGCAGCGTGGGGGGAGCAGCGGTGGCAGGACTGCCGCTGGCCTCACTGCCCTGTCCGGCCCCATCTGTGCCACGGCGTATCTGTGCCGTGTGTGTAGCAGTGAGTGCTGTGTCGTCGTAGACCCAGTCGATGTCTCATGTAGCACAGAGGTGCCCTGTAGCTCAGTGCCTGGGAGGTGATGTAGCACCTCAAATAAATGAAACATGTGGAGTTTTATCCTACTGGAGTCATGTCGTTTTTGGTTATCCTACTCTGGGCAGACACATGCTGCAGCCTGTCAGGAAAATCCCTCCCAAGGCAGAGTTCAGTGACCCCACACAGTGGAGCAAGGGTAACTCCTGTTCTCCCCACCTCCTGGATGAACAGAGCAATGTGATGTAGAGATGCAGAGGGGACCTAAGCAGTGGCTGTCCTGCCTTGATACAGCCTTTTTCCTGCTTGGCCTACTGTGGGTGAAAATGCTGTGGGGGGATGAAGGCAGCAGGAGAGGAGGGACCTTTTTGAAGGTACCCAGGGTGTGAGAGAGGCCGGGAATGTTGAGGGCTGCCAGGATGCTGAGAAGAAAGAAGAGATGGCTAATGTCAGGACTCATGGGCCCCATCCAGCACCACAGCTCCATCTCAAAGGATGAACCATGGCTGGTGTGGGAGAGAGCTGAGCCCAACATTGTCCAGCTTTTGTAGGCAGGAGCGCTGCAATCCTGCTTGCTGAAATGTAATGCTTACAGGAAGGGAATGTAAGCTCCAAACTGGTGGTGTCTGTGGGTGGTGTTTAGGGGTGCACTGTGAGATCAAGGGAGGTGACACTTGAGTTACCCAGTTCTATGGGCTCACCTGAGCCTTGCTGCTCTTGGCTCCACAGAGAGTCTCACACCCAAAGCAGAAAGCAGGTGAGGGATTTGGTCCTTCATTGGTACACTAGAAAGATCTCATAAGTCTGTGTAAATATTAAGTACAGATGCCTGACCTTTCAGAGAAGACAGCCAGCTTGAGCCTCGGGTGGGCTGAAGGCTGTAGAGACAGGAGACTGAATCCCATCAGAGTGAGGCAGCATCCAACACACTGCTGGGGCAGGCTGTGCCATGTCTTGGGGGCATCACAGCATGGGAAAAATTGGAAATTATCCATAAAATAGCATTTAGAAGACATTTTCATGTTGCTGCTCCATTGTCTCTGGTGCCCACCTGGCACAGTGACTGCAGGATCCGTCCTGATGCACTGCATGACTGCCTGTGGTTTGGGAGGAACAACTTGGGATACCTAAGCTGGTGGTACCTCAGCTGGAAGCATCCCTGCATCTGCCTCTGGAGTTGCCATAGAAACCACAATTGTGCCAGAGCCAGCATCAACACTGAGCCCCAAATTAGAGCTGGGAAGATGCACTGGCAGCTGGGGAGGAGGTCAGTGGTTTGTGCTGTGACTGGGGGCTGGACAGAGGGACACCTCTTCTGAGTGCAGTGTGCTCCAGCCTTCTATGAGTATTTCACAGCACTCCCTTGTCTGTGCTCAAACCCTGGTGGTCTTGTCCTTCTCAGGGTCCTGGAAGGGGACAGACCCCTTGCTGCCACTTTTGTATGTCTCCCCTCTCTCACAGCTCTTTCCAGAATCCACCAAGGCATGTAATAATTCCAATCCCGCTAAACCTTTAGTCATGGGGGACCCTAAATCATGGAGCTGCATTGGAAACACAAGCCTGATTAATAAGCTTTTCCCGCAGGAGCGTTGCATGAGGGGGATAAATCAAGATGCTGAGTCACTGGCAAATTGACATCCCTATGTGCCAACTTCACAAGCTCCCTGCTGCTGATGGGATGCCCAAGGCTACTTTTCCAAATTCAAGGCAGTGGCAGCTGCAAGAGCCAGAGGATGCTGGAGGGGGAAGCTGGAGCTCAGGAGTGCCTCACTGTTGTGGTGTTTCCAGCAGGGATGCTGATGATCCCTGCCCCACAGGCGTTTGCCCCTCTGTCAGCAGCACTTTGCCTCCTGCACACACCTTCCTGGCACATCGACCCACTGGAGTGCCTTTTGTCTTGGCTCCTCCACATGAGTTCAACAGGAATCTGACCTCTCATTAAGTGTGGAATTGTCACTCTTTTCTATCTCTGCTTTTGATCACAAGACCAGAATCCCATTTGAATGAGGAGAGAAATGTTACCAGGAAAATGTTCAAGGACATCTCAGGAATGGAGAGATGAGGGTCCTGGCCACTTTTGCAGACTGACATGTTATTAACTGAGAAACTTATGTGAATTTCTAATGAAGTGTGCTGTGAAGTCAAAAAAGTTGAGGAATGTACCAAGTATATTGCTGTCTATCTCCTGGAAGTTTCTGCTAATTTTTACTAAAGGAAAGACTACAAGGTATCTGGTTACCTTTCCTAATGCTAGAAGCACAGACTGTTTCAGATATAAGGAGAGTTATGAGCTAGTGCCTGGCAACGTGGTTCATCTCCCCAGAGCGTGTTATGGATGGGGGAGATGGAAATGGAGGTAGCTGTCAGACCTATAATTAAAAAAATGTGTTTCCATATTGAAATTTCTTTCCGTTGTCAGGAGAGATGGAAATACAAAAATCTCATTTATCTTATTCCACAAACTTGCTAGACGTTCATACCAGCAGGCTCCAGCCACATCAGAAATAGGAACAGCTCTTTCTAAGTACCTAAAATAACATGTTGAGCCTTATCACCAATGTGCACAGCACCAGCAATTCCTTTTCTAATGGCAGTGGAAGCACTGAAAATGGGTACAGGACTCTACAGTCTCTTCTGCAGAGGGATCTGGGCCAACTTTTCAATCATGAGCAATAAAATGCTGGAAAATCACTGTTTATGATGCAGGACCATATAGGGCCTGGATGCACAGCAGGGCTCTTGGCAGCAGTGCCATGTACTTGCCTGTACAACAGAGCTGTAGGCAGTTCAGGAGCAGAACAAGGCTTTTATTTACTTAAAAATCGCAATAAACATTAACATTTCCATCAGCTTGGCACTCTGGAGGAAGGTTTGCTTTCCAGCCCATGCCTGCCTTGGACAGCCCAGCCACTATCCCATCCCTGAGGTAGGAACACAGCCCAGGCTGCAACTCCCTACTCTGGTCCTGGAAAATCAACACATCAGAGTCTCCTCATTGAGCTGGGAGGTATCAAGCTGCCTTGATTGATCCAAGCTATTTAAACCAACCCCAGTGCTATAATGTCAAGCAAAGCAATGCAGTGAAATCGCTCCAATAAGTTTTTTTATGGGTAAAAGACCAGAATTTTATTTTTTAATCTAAAGTGAAAGCTTTATCTACATGGGATTTGATTAGGAAACCAGATATATAAATCAAGAAAGCCATTATTTTGACACCCCTGAGCTCTGGGCTGCCTTAATACTAAAGGCAGAAGAGAATAAAGGGGAATGTAAGAAATTCCCCTGATCTATCCATGAATTTATGTCAACTTTATTCCTCCAGTGGTTTAGTGCTTATGGAATATCTTCAGAGCCAGGAGACAAACATTTTAACTAGTATTGAAATAGTTTTGAATTAAAGGAGGAAAAAATAGGCAAGGAAGCATGCCTGTTCTGCATTCCTAAACATGGGTGTTATGGAACCACAAGGCAAAAAAAATCCAGTAAAACCATATTTGAGAATGTTTCTTTGGGGAATATTTAGATGGTGGTTATTTTTGTCATATTTCTGATGGATGAAATTAAATCCTTCTGCATTTCTGCCAGAGGTATTTACATAAGAGACCACACAGCTCTGGAAATAAAGGAAATGGATGCTGTGGCTGCCATGCTCACATAGGAGAGCAGCTCTCAGTGTGCCAGGTTCCAAGCTTTCGGCTTTCTCATCCTCCCAGTGTCCTGTGATGACCCCCTGTGCCTGGGGCTGTGCTTCCAGGTGAGGAACAAAGGCTGGCATGCAGAGCGACTGGAGCTGGGGCTGATCCTGGGTCCATGGCCACAGGGTGAGATCCAGGGACCCTCAGCCCTAAGGTGACCACAGGGACCCTCAGTCCTGAGGTGACCACAGGGACCCTCACCTCCAAGGAAGCAGCCAGGGACACTCAGTTCCAGGGGGACCCAGAGACCTCCAGGGGACCCTGAAGCATCTCAAGTCTCAGAGTGAGGCCCAGAGGCTTCCAGCCTTGAGGTGAAATCCAGCGACCTTCAGTCCCAAACTGATCCCAGGGACCTTTCGCCCTGGGATGAGACCCTGAGGCCTCCATAGGACCCTGAGGCCTCTCAAGCCTCAGGATGAGGCCCAGAAGTCTCCAGCCTTGAGGTGAAATCCAGAGATCCTCAGTCCTGGAATGAGACCCTGAGACCGCCATAGGACCCTCAGGCCTCTCCAGCCTCAGAGTGTGATTCAGGAACTCTGAGTTTGGGGTGACCCCGAGCACCCTCAGGCCTGGATTGCCCCCAGGGCCCCCCAGCCCTAGGGTGAGACCCAGGCACTGCCCCAGGGCCCCTCAGGCCCCACAGGTGGGCAGGCCCAGTGCTTGGCTGCATCCCAGGCCTGCGGAGGGCCTCAGGCCAGGCCTGCCCTGGGCCTGCAGGGCCGTGTCCCCTGGGCTGTCCCCACAGCCACAGGACACGGGTGATGCTGCCCTGAGTGGAGCTGGCCATCTTCTTCCATCTCCCTCCTCCCTGCAAGGCACTGTGGCACCCTTGCCGCTGCTGGTGGGGAGAGGCCGTGAGGGCCGTGGTGCTGTTTGGGGGCTCCCTGCCAGGCTGTCAGCCCTCAGAACAACATGAACTTCAACATCTGGAACATCAAGGAGATGCTGAGCACACCAACAGCCCTCGGGTGAGTGTGGGTGGGGGGAGATGGAGAAGGGATGGGGTGTAAAACCAAACACTTGGCAGGGGTGATGACAGGTGAGGTTAAACATGTCCAGAACTGATCTGTGGCTAATTAGGAAAGTCTAATGGAAATTCATTAGCCTGCCCTGGGATCCTGTTTATGTCCCCAGCCTGCCAGCACTGCCATAGACCCACAATTGGTGGGAATCTAAAAATCAGCATTGGCTGGAAGCTGGACCCTTGTCCATTCAGGGTGTATTTGGAGAAGCCCTGTGAGCCATGTTCATCTCATTAGATAAGTCAAGTGTTCCTCCTGCCTGTGCAGAGGGCAGATAGAACGAATCGTGATGTGCAGCATTATTGCACATTATGTAACTCAAAAATTATTCCATATCCTGCATTTATACACATGGCTTGTTTTCTTC